CCATCCTCCTTACAACTCTTCACTTAATGCCTGGTAGAACTCACCAGTGAAGTCATCTGGGCCTGGACTTCTTTTGGCTGGGAATTTTTTGATGACCTGATCAATTTCTTCTATTGTTATGGGTCTGTTTAAGTCTTCTACTTCACTCTGTGTGAATTAAGGTAGGTCACGTTTTCTAAAAATGTAACCATCTCTTCTAAGTTTTCAACTTTTTTGGAGTATAACTCTTCATACTATTCTGTTATTATCCTTTTGATTTCCTTTGGTTTCATTGTGACATTGCCCATGTGGTTTCTAATATGTGTTATTTGTGTCTTCTCCCTCTTTTATTTTGTTAGGTTTGCCAATGGTTTGTCAATTTTATTAATCCTTTCAAAGAACCAGCTTCTTGTCCTGTTGATTTTTTCTATAGTTTTCCTGTTTTCTATCTCATTTATTTCTGCTCTGATCTTTATTATTGCTTTTCTCTTGGTGACTGTAGGTTCCCTCTGTTGGTCTGTTTCTGGATATGTTGTGCTAATGTGTTCATTTTGATTCTCTCTTCTTTTTGGATGTGTGCATTTATCACGATAAATTGTCCTCTCAACATCGCTTTTGCCGTGTCCCAAAGATCTTGGTATGCTATGTTTTCGTTCTTGTTTGTTTCTAGGAACCTTCTGAATTCACGTTTAATTTCATCTATCATCCAGTCACTCTTCAGCAGGGTATTATTCAGTCTCCATGTATTAAACTTTATTTCCTTGGTCTTTTTGTTGATTTCTAATTTTATGGCATTGTGGTCTGAAAAGATGCTCTGCAGTATTTGGATGTTTGTAAATTTATGGAGGCTTGCTTTGTGACCTAACACGTGGTCAATTCTGAAGAATGTTCCATGTGCACTGGAGTACAGTGTATATTGTGCTATTGTTGGGTTGAATGCTCTTAAATGTCTATGAGGTCTAGTTGGTTGGTTGTGCTGTTTAGTTCCTCTGTAGCTTTGCTGAGTTTCCTTCTGGTTGTTCTATCCCTTTTCTTAAGTGGTGTATTAAAATCCCCCACTAAAATTGTAGATTTATCTATTTCTTCAATTCTAGTAGGATTTGCTTTATATATCTTGGTGCTCTTTCATTTGGAGCATAGATGTTAATTATGATAATGTCTTCTTGCTCAATTGACCCTTTAATCATGAGATAGTATCCTTCTTTATCTCTTATGGTGGTTTTTGCCTTAAAGTTTATTTTATCAGAGATTAGTATTGCCACTCCTGCTTGTTTTTTATTGCTGTTAGCTTGGTATATTTTTTTCCCATCCTTTAACTTTTAGTCTGTTTTTGTCTTTGTATATAAGGTGTCTCTTCCAGGCAGCATATTGAAAAGTCTTGTTTTCTTATCCATTCAGCCACTCTCTGTCTCTCCACAGGTGCATTTAATCCATTGACATTCAGTGTAATTTTTGATAGGCATGGATTAACTGCTGTCATTATGTTAATTTTTTGTGGTGCTCTTTGTTCCTTTGTTCTGCATGCCTTGTGTTGTGTTCATTTTTTGTGTGTGTGCTATTTCTTGTCTGTTTCTTCTTTGTTTTAATGTTTCCTTGTTCTGCATTTAAGACAGTCTATTGTATCCTGTCATCTACTCGACCTCCTCACCACCTGGATCTCTGTTCCTATATTTCCCCCTTCTTTGATATTGTTAATATTTTGATCTTTTGTTGACCTCACAGCTCCTCTGAATTCATTGCTATAACTTTGTTCCATTCTGAACTCTGCTATCCATCAACTGAGTTCCAGGTGGAATTGCCATGTCTGTCAATCTCTAGTTGTTGTCTGTTCTTGCTGATTTTCAGTCCAAAGAACTCCCTTTAGGATGTTTTGTAGCACTGGATTGGCTTTAACAAAATCTCTTAGCTTCTGTTTATCCTGGAATGTTTTGATTGCACCATTATATTTGATTGACAGTTTTGCTGGATAGACGATTATTGGTTGGCAGTTTTTTTCTATTAGGGTTTTATATATGTCTCCCCATTGCCTTCTTGCCTGCATGGTTTCTGCTGAGAAGTCACAGCTTAATCTGATTTGCTTGCCTTTGTAGGTGCTACTTCTCTTTTCCCTGAGTGCTTTTAGGATTCTCTCCTTGTCTTTGATTTTGGAGAGCTTGATTATGACGTCTTGGTGATTTTCTTTTGGGGTCTATCCATCCTGGGGTTCTTTCAGCTTCTTGAATGTTTATCTTTTCGTCCTTCAAGAGGTTAGGAAAATATTTTTCCAGAAGCTCTTTAACTATCTCTTCTGTGGACTTCTGTGATTCTTCCTGTTCTGGAATGCCAATAATTCTTAAGTTATTCCTCTTCATGCTATCCAGCATTAATCTTAAGACTCGCTTCAGATTTTTTAATCATTTTTTCTGCTTGCTCTCCTATCTTAGCAGTATTGAGCGATTTGTCTTCCAGCTCTCTAGTCCTGGCTTCCATCTCTTCCATTCTGCTCCTTTGCCCTATCAGTGTATTGTCTATTTCTGATATTTTATTATTAATCATCTGGACTTCTTTTTGCAGGTTTCAGATTGTTGCCAATGCCATATCTCTCTTGTTTGATTGCTCCTGTAGCACTTACCTGACTTCTTCCTTATTTTCCTCCACCCCTTTTTTGAGCATTTGAATTTTGTTTCCATATTATTCTTCTGAATTCCTTCTCAGGCAGATCCAGAGCCTTCTCTTCTGCTGGAAAGTCTGTGTCTGCTTCCACCTCATTTGTCTCATTTACTGTTTTCTGTTTTGGGATGTGTTGACATCTTTGTGTTTTCTTGGACATTTTCAATAGTTATGCAAGTTTTTAATGCTTAAATGTATATATGTTGCTTTTTGTTAAGCTTGCTGAGCATCTCCTGGTGGATGTGATCTGGAGACAGACTTCCCTTTTCACGTGTAATGCCTATCAGCTGGTTTTGGCTCTTGTCCAGATGGTGGGGTACTACAGGGTATGCTTGTAGCTTGGCTATATGGGCACAGTTGCTGTCTCTTCTTGGGTAAGGTAAGGGGAGAAAGCTCCCAGCCCTTGGAGAAGAGTGAGGCCAAAAGGACCAAAGACAGAAACAATACAGAAGCAGAGACAGAAACCACCAATCAAAAACAAAAATAAAATTGTGATTGACACTGTTCACTGGCCTTTGCGGTACAAAGGGTCCCCCGCCTAGGTTAATTATGGGACTGGTTCCCAGGGTGAAAACGTCACAAGAAGCAGCCTGCAGGTTCCCCCTCTGTGCTATTGGAAAACTGTGGGTGCAATGCTGGACACTTTTGGGGGTGTGCTCCTGCCCACCTGAAGGTGTCTGGGCTGTGCTGTGAGGATGTGATAGGGGTGAAGAGGAGAGAGAGATATGTGAAAGATGAAAAGTGAAAGATGAAAAATCAGCCACATCTCTCCCTTCAGACACCCTGATCCGTGGCTTCTAGCGTTGGGTTGCTTGCTTCCGCTTGGATGTGGCCCCACCCTCCTGCCTGAGGACTTCTGGCTGCCAGCCGCCACAGCTGGATCAATTCAGAAATCACCGTATTTTGCTTCCGCCGGCAGATTTCTTCTCAATGGGCATGGGGAACTGGCAGCCTGAAACTTAAACAAGATCCAAAGCTCCACAGTTTTTCTGCAGACCATTCTTTCTCATCTTTTTTGAGGGGTTTTGGCAGAGGAGTTTTCACTGTCTGTCTCTGCTTTCCCCGCCCCCCAAACTGGAATTCCATCACCACCCATGCGTTTTTTCCTTGATACACTGAGAGCTGACTTTAAACACAAGCAAATTCACAGGTTGTATTAACTACATAACCAGTAGCATCAAATGTGACAAACATCAGTAGAAAAGAACATTTCTGTATCACCAATACTATACATGTAGGAAACTATTCCTTGATCACTCTTGGACCCTGGCTTCTTCTGTATGTCCTTTCTTCTGTTTATGAGTCCCAAGGTCTCTAAGTTAGTAATTTCTATCCCATTTTAATGAGCAACACACAGAACAGGAGGATTTGAAGTTATCTTTTATACAACTATCACTGACTAATTAATGACATACTCCACTTGAAATTAGTGACACACTCCACTTGATAATGAGAGTGGTTGGGAAATTTACAACATGTGTGAGCTTATGGAGAAGTGGAAATGGTTATGGGTAAAAACCAACATACGGCATATGGAAATTATTGGTATCTAAGTTAATCTGAATGTTGACCTCTGGTATGATGTCCCACATGTCTGATCTTCCTAAAATTGCTTTCATGTGTGTTTTGATGTATAATATCTATACCCTCTACATATTTTCTGCTGTACTGAGAAAGTTGACTTCCCGTTGAAAAGTCATCAGGCATTACAGTCTGTTTTATACACTGTGATTCAATAAGTTGTGGTTTCTGGTAGAAATGTCTGCACATTTAATTACTTTCTTGCAAAATTTAGTTTTCTGAGGGTTGAGTTAATACTATTTTTTGTATTACTTTCACCAGCTTTCTTAGATGTACAGAAAAGTTAGTTTGATTTCTGTGGAATTGTCCCATATTCATTACATTCATAGGGTTTTTCTCCTGTGTGCTCAATTAAGTTCAGTGAGAGTTGATTTACGGAAGAGGAATGTCTCACATTCATTATATTGATAGTTTTTCACCTATACTCAATCTTTTCAAACTCCTGACTTTGGCTGAAAAGTTTTTCTACATTCTTTATATCCAAAGGGTTTCTCTCCTATATGTTCTCTCTTAAATAGTAGAGTGCTTTCTAGCACATATTTCTTTTATTTGTCACACGACCTGTGTAAGTTCTGATGGTCAACCAGATATGACTTCTGGCTAAAGTCAGATCATCGTATTTATAAGGTCCTTCCATGGGGGAGTTCTCTCGTAATTTTTGTGGTGTAACTTCTTTGTTAAACCTTTTCCATATTCATTAAGCTCATAGGGTTTTTTCCTGTGTATGTTCTCTGATGGATAAGTTGAACTCTGATTAATAGTAGAAACTTGTCATTCCTAATTTAGGGCTTCTACTTTGCATGCATTCTCTGATGGACTCTGAGGGTTGACTTAGAACTTAAAGTTTTCCCACATTTATCACATTTATATGGTTTTTCTCTTGTGTGAGTTTTTTGATGACCTCTAAGATGCGACTTCTCTCTAAAAGCTCTCCCACATTCGTTACATTCATAAGGTTTTTCTCCTGTATGAATTCTATGATGTCTCATTGCTCTAGATTTCCTACTAAAAGTTTTTCCACATTCAATACATTCAAAGGGTTTCTCTCCTGTGTGAGTTCTCTGATGTACCGTCAGGTTTGACTTCCAGTGAAAAGATTTCCCACATTCATCACATACATAGGGTCTCTCACCTGTGTGAGATCTCTGATGTTGTGCTAGCTCTGACTTATTCCTGAAGCCTTTCCCACATTTATCACATTTACAAGGTTTCTCCCCTGTGTGAATTGTCTGATGAATTCTGATATATGATTTGCAGGTGAACGATTTGCCACATTCTTCACATTTATAAGGTCTCTCCCCTGTGTGAGTTCTCTGATGACCTCTGAGGATTGAGCTCTGGCTGAAACCTTTTCCACATTCATGACATTCATAGGGTTTCTCCCCTGTATGTGTTCTCTGATGACTTCGGAGAATTGAATTCTGGCTGAAACCTTTCCCACATACCTCACATTTATAGGGTTTTTCACCTGTGTGAGTTCGCTGGTGTTTCCTTAGTGCTGATTTATCACTATATGTTTTCTCACATTCATTACATTTAAAAGGTTTTTCTCCTGTGTGTATTCTCTGATGTAGTGTGAGGTTTGACTTCCTGCTAAAAGATCTACCACATACATCACAAACATAAGGTCTCTCACCTGTGTGAGTTCTCTCATGTTTTCTTAGGTCTGACTTATACCTGAAACCTTTCCTACATTCACTACATTCATAGGGTTTAACCCCTGTGTGAGTTTTCTGATGTTCACTGAAGCGTGACTTCCAGCTGAAAGATTTCCCACATTCATCACAATTATAGGGCCTCTTACCTGCGTGCATGCTTTGATGTCTGCTTAGGTATGACTTCAGCTTGAAAGCTTTCCCACGTTCATTGCATTCAAAGGTTCTCTTCCCCAGATGAGTTCTCTGATGGTTCCTTAGTTCTAAGTTCTTCCTGAAAAATTTCCCACATTCATTACATTCACAGTGCTTCTTCCTGGTATGAGTTTTCATATGGAAAATGAGGTGTGACTTCCTAGAAAAAGATAGTGCACATTTGTTGCATTCGTAGGGTGTGTCCCTTTTATGAGTTCTCTGCTGTATCTGCAAGGCTGATGGACAGTTAATAGTTTCTCTACATTTGTTGTAAACACAGGATTTGTCTACAGTAAGGACAGAATTATGGCTGAAGCTTTTTCCACATTCAAGTAGTTTCATCCCTGTGGGAGTTGTTTGATGTCCTCTGAAGTCTGATTTTTTGCTGAACATTTTCCTTCCTGTGTCTTTTTTCTGAAACTGAGCGATCATAATAAAGTTAGCCCCATTTTTGTTACATGAATTTTCATTAAAATCATAGTCTCTCTTCCCTTCTATGTGAATGCTTGGAGAAACAAGGTTTTTGCCAGATTTATTATAAGTATAGGATTTTAGTTTTGTGTGCGTACTCTTGGGGATAGTGAGGGCTGACTTCTCATGGAATGCTTTTCTATCTTCATTATGTTCAAAAGTTTTCCCAGATGTTTGAACAGTCTGAAGTTGAACATGTTCCTTCTCCTGACTAAGGGCTTTCACATTTTGATTATAAGCTAAAGAATTCTCTCTAGTATTTGCTCTCCCATTTCTAATAATGAAATGTTTCTCATATGCATTAAACTCATCATCCTTCTTCCTTGAAGAATTACAACGTGAAACCAATGATATGAGACTCTGGTAAGAAGACACTCTAATGTCACAGTCACAGGCCTTTTTTCTTGAAGTAAATATATCTATGCCTAGTTTACATGGCTTTCTTGGAATTTTCTCTTGCTCACTGGTCAGCATTTTATTGGTGGTGAATAAAACTCGCCACTGATATTTGTCTTGGTTTTCCAAGCTCTTCTCTAGCCAGTCATCAAGTTGGCAGTCTTCTAAGAAAAACCCAGAAAATTAAAAACAACATGTAAACATTATTGCTTAATGTTTAAAGTCTCCTGGTGGGTAAGATATACTTAGCTGAAAACATTATTGCAAAATAGAGGTGGAGGTGTGGCACTATGGGTTAATGCACCAGACTGTAAAGCCATTTGAACTGCAAGGTCGGCAGTTCAAGCTCACCAGTTGCTCCTTGGAAACCCTATACAGGGTCGCTATGGGTCGGAACCGACTTGATGGCACTTCACAACAACACAACAAGCATTCTTTGATAGGAAATATTTTAGGATTTATAGCCTATACAATCCTTGTCACTATTTAGCACTGCTGTTGCTGTATGAAAGCAGTAACTAACTAGATATAAAAACTTGAATGGCTGAGTTCTAAAAATCTATAGGTAACTGTTTGGATATGGTTGAAGGGATCTAGGTTGTCAACCTTTGCTCTAATAACTCCGCTGGTGCCCACTATATATAAAGCCAGAGAAATATATTTAAGTCTACTACATTTAGTGTATCTCTATTTCTCCAAAATGCATTTATAATTTTTGAGTGAGGCGTTCTTTTAATATTTCTTTGGTGCAGAAATAAGTCAAAATCTTTATTGTGTCCTTTAAAAACAGTTTTTCTTTTATAGTTATCATTCAATTTACCCAGCTCTGGTAGTGTAGTGGTTACGAATCGGGCTGTGACCCTTAAGGTCAGCAGTTCGAAACTACCAGCCGCTCCGTGGGAGAAAGATGAGGCTTTCTACTCCCGTAAAGATTTACACCCTCGGAAACCCTGTACAGGGTCGCTATGGGTCAGAACTGACTCAACGGCACTTAACAACAACATGTATTTAATTGTATCCCTCCAAAGAATATGCTGAAATCCTAAACTTGGTGTTGGAGACTGTCAGCCTTGTTTGGATATTGGGGCCTTACTTTGAATAATTTGTCAGGTAAGTTACAGAGGTCAGACTGGAGGATGGGTCCATATATTTATGGAATGGTGTCTTACAAAAAACAGAGATCGGATATGGAGACAGAGTCACATACATAGGGAGGGCAGAAGGTAAGATACTTATAGACATAGCAAAGGGATGCCAAGATTGCAGCTGGCCACTAAAGGATAGCATAGAGGCATGAAACAGCTTCTCATTCAGAGCCTTCGGAAAGAATTGACATGGCCAATATCTAGTATTCTTATTTGGACTTTTAAGTCTACAGATTTCTGAGGTAATACTTTTTTGTTTGTTTGTCTAAAGAAACTCATTTGTGGTATTTTGTCACAGTAGCCCTGGGAAACTAAAACATCATTTTTCTAATTTAATATGTTTTGCTTGAACTATACTTTTATTACTAAAATAAAATAAAAAGACCCCTGAATTACCTCTGTGCTTACTGGTATGTTAACTTACTATTTTATATAGTAAACTTTCCATATATATATTTTTTAGGTGTATCTCTCTGTTACAATGAGACAGCAATATCCCTTGCTGATGCTGCTAACATATTGCCATTAGTTGATATGGAAGATATCTTTGTCATATTTCATGTTATGCTGAGCTTTATAAGCTCTGATTTTTGTTCAAGTTAGTTAATTTTCCTTCTTCTAATACTAGTTACTGTTGCTAGACATCATTAAGTCAGTTCTGACTCACAGCAACCCTTTATTGGGTTTCTGAGGCTGTAGGTCTTTATGGGAGCAGAATGTCTCATTTTTTCCCATGGAGCAAGCTTGTAGGTTTGAACTACTGATCTTGTGGCTAGCAGTCCAGTGCTGAACCTAGAGCACCACCAGTGCTCCTAGTAATAACTAGGATGGCTATATTTTTGCTTTATTTGGTATCTGTGTAATTAAAAACAAGTTTCATTAATCATCTATTGAGATAGCATCTAGTTGCTATAGGCCAAAAATGAACTCAACAGTGCCTAAAACCAACAATTTTATACAGTTGGTAACTAACAATAAAATTATTTTCTCTCTCTATCTTCTAATACTTTAGCCTCTAATTTGAGTTGCTTTCATAATTTTCTTTAGTTTTCAGCATTTTATTCTTAAATGTAACTCGATTCCTCAGTGTGTGAACTGTAAATACTTTATTTGGGCTCCAGCTTTTGAAGATGACAAAATCAATAGGGTTACGTTGCATCAGCTATGGTTCACCTTTATCTTCCATATTTTATTGAATCTCTTCTTTTATAAACTTCCAAATAAAAAAAGTTCTAAAAGCACCCTTTTCTAACTGATCGCTATGGATTTAATTTCTTCTGAGTACCTTCTGTTAGTATTAAATAACTCACCTGGGTAGCTCCTATTTAGAAAGCCTTCTTCTAATAAGCATGAGTATTTTGCTTGCTCTAGCTTGAAGATCACTTCTGGTTTTGTAAAGCAATACCCTGTAAATAAAAAAATAATAATTTAGGATTTGAATCAGGTAATGGGCTTTGATACTTAGGAATGGGAATGAAGATATAATTTCAGTTGTTGCACATTAGATGTGCTAACTTAACCTTTTTTGGGGTGAGGTGAAAAAGGAATACATCTCCTTATTCCCTAAATCTGAATTCTAGCTAATAGTACATTTTAATAATGGTTCAGATGTACTGGGTTTTATAAAAGGGGCAACAAGGGACTTCTATTTCTGGTGATGGTGAAGTATCAGGGACTAATTTACCTTGCCATGTCCAACTGATAACCATACAAAATTAAACAACAGGCAGTGCAGGGCAGGGATTCCTAAGTAAAAAGAAATAAATTAGGTGAGTCCTATGACTGCCACAGCTTATAGTCTGGAAACTTTCTAAGCCACAGCACAGACAGAGGAAGCCAAAGGAGAGGCTGACAATCTCAATAAGCTGAGAGTTTAGGAATTCTAAAGCAACTAAAAATTGTGGGACAAAATACTGGAGGCATAAGAGCTGTACTGAGAGAGAGTTATGGAAATCTGTATAAAGATTTCTGTGAAGTAAGTAAACCACCAAAGATTAGCAGAAAATGCACCAGAAAAAAACAGCCTGAAGGAGCTTCATATTGAAGTGATTAATTGCTCTGCTGCTAACCAAAATGGTCAACAGTTTGAACTCACCAGTGGCTCCATGGAAGAAGTGTCCTAGCAATCTGTTCTTATAAAGATTATGGCTTATAAAACCTATGGGGCAGTTTTACTATGATGTACGGTCACTATGAGTCAGAATCCACTTGATGGCACACAACAACTGAGTATGTTGCAAAGTCAGCAAAGCACACATAATAATTGTTGTTGTAGGTGCCAGTGAATCAGTTCCACTCATAGCACCACTATGCACAACAGAAAAAAACACTGTCCAGTCCTGTGCCAACTTCACAATCATTGCTATGTTTGAGCCCATTTCTGCTGCCCCTGTGCTAATCCACCTCATTGGGAGTCTTCTTCTTTTTCATTGACCCGCCACTTTACCAAGCATGATGTCCTATTCCAGGGACTGGTCCCTCCTGATATGTCCAAAGTATGAAGGAGGAAGTCTGGCCATCCTGGCTTCCAAGGAGTATTCTGGATGTAATTCTAAAACAGATTTGTTTGTTCTTCTGGCAGTCCATGTCACTGTCAATATTCTTCTCCAATCCCATAACTCAAATATGTCAATTTGTCTATGGTTTTCCTTATTCACTGTTCAACTTTTGCATGCATGTGAGATAACTGAAAATACCATGACTTGGGTCACATGCAACATGCAGTAGAATAACATAATACTACCTTAGTAAAGGACCAAATTAGTCCCAGACTAAAAAGTTCACGGATTCCAACATAACTGTCTTAGTTATCTAGTGCTGCTATAACAGAAATACTAGAAGTGGATGACTTTTAAAAAACAAAAATTTACTCTTTCACAGGTTGTTGTTGTTGTTAGGTGCCATCAAGTCAGTACCGGTCCATAGCAACCTTATGCACAGCAGATCGAAACACTGCCCGATCCTGGGCCAATCACACTACTGTTGCCATGCTTGAGTCCATCTATGCTGCCACTTGGCCAATCCATCTCGTTGGGGGGTCTTCCTCTTCTTCTCTGACCATCCACCTTACCAAACATGATATTCTTCTCCAGTGAGGAGGCAACAAATCCAAATTTAGAATGTCAGCTCTAGGAGAAGGCTTTCTCTTTCAGTTGAGTCTGAGGAAAGATGCTTATGCCCTTTCAGTATCTGTAGGCCCAACATTCCTTAAAGAGTTTTGTGTGTCTTGCTATCAATTTTCCCCAGCATCTAGGAGCTTTGCAGTGCAGGAATCCCATGCCAAATGGACATTCCACTCCTGGCTCATCTTTCTTGATAGTAATTATATCCCTCTGATCTCTACTTGCTTCTCTCTCCTTTTACCTCTTGTAAAACGAAAGTGTTACAGACTAAACCCCAGGGAAACACCCCTTACATCAGGTCAGGGCAGCAATACAATTAAGGGCATTGTACGAACCTTACGGTCAGAGGTTCGAAACTACCAGCTGCTCCGCGGGAGAAAGATGAAGCTTTCTACTCCTGTAAGGATTTACACCCTCGGAAACCCTGTACAGGGTCGCTATGGGTCAGTACCGACTCGACGGCACTTAACAACAACAACCCCACTCTCTATCATGATAGCTTCTATCATGGAGGGCGATGGTTAAACGATGTGTGAGAACTGCGCAGACCTGGTGGAGGTGTTAAATGAAACCCAGACCATGGAGCAGAGGGGTGAGAGGTGTCTGGAGACCAGGTCAATGAGGAGACGCTGCCTAGCGGGAAGAGACTGCAGGGGCCCGCCAGGCTGCCCTACTTACCCCGGACGCTAGAGCGCCGTTCTAGCCTAACCATTGGATCGTGACTTTGAGGCAGGGTTGACCAGCTTGGAGACCCACAAGCGCAGCCCAAAGCATCTCACTACAACCTAGTCGCCCCTGCTGCGCTTCCGCTTCTTGATTGACATCGGACGGAATGTCAATGTCTTGGTTGACATCCTCCTCTTGATGGAAATCCGGCCTTTGAGCTGGACTTAAGGGCCCTAGCACAAGGAGATTCCTATTTAACAGCAACCACACAACCGCCACTCATCTGTCTGTCATGCTGTGGTGGTTTGAATTGCTGTGATTCTGAGGG